ATGTAGAAGTGGGAGCAGGCACTGGCACGACCGATACTGTCCATCTGCCACCTGCAAAGCATCTTGAAAGTCATTTCGACAGAGCTGACACCGCTCAAGAGGTAGATACGGAATGAGCATAGGCTCTGATATGACTAATCATACGCCTTTCTTTGACTTGTGTAGACCCCTGCTCCACCTATGGAACGAATGAAGAACGACCTTGCCGCTGAACTGGTACTTTCTCCGGATTCTAACGACGATGACGAGGCTGTGAGAGGTAATCTGTCAACTGAGGAAATGGGCGACTTCTATCCCCTCCGGAATGCCTCAGGTAGGTGCTGGTCCGACCAAACTGTGCTTACCCCGCCAACATTTTTTGAAACGCAATTGATGATTGGGATGTGGCTGTCCTCATCAAACAATTCCCTCGCTGCTTTCCACTCCACATCTATGAGGCGCACATTGCGTTACTGTGTGAATAGCGCAGTGGCAGTGCAATTGCTGACACGGACCCACATGCAGAACTGGTGCATCTGCTGGGAATATGTAACTCAAAGACCCGCCGGAAGAAGGTTGCTGAGGGGCGTGTGAAGGTGTTCAATAATCGGAGTAGAGTCGCATTTACACTAAACATGGGACATTTTGTAAATGTGTGTGCATTTAATATTGTGGTTGAGGATGGATAGGTACTAATGGGTGTATATAGTACCACATTCTCCTTGCAATGTTGCTCTTGTTGTGGAATATCAGGTATTCTGGCTTTAATCATGTAGATGGGATACTACATGAGAAATGGGCTAATTTATTGACGATTGTCGTCATTACTGTGCTTATTCAAACTTTCATTAACAGTGCGCGGATCCTTCAAGGCGTAATACAATATAGCAGTTTAGTATTTTTCCTTTTGTCATCGATTGACCCTTACGGTAGAGTCTGGCTTTTTCAAAAATGAGTCGTCATCTTTTCTCAGACGCGGCTACGGCGGCAGCCACAGCTGAAATAGCGGTGCTGAATGAAGCAGTAGGAACGGTGGATCTCATAGATGACGAGGATGATGATTTCGTTCCAGCTGGTGGTGAATTGTTGGCAGATGATGAGACCGTTGCCATCTACCATCATGGTTCTTCAGCATTTGGGGACGTGGTGGACGAGGACGAAGAAGAGGGGGAGATTTATTAATTTCCTGCTCTCTTGTCTTCATGCGAACGCTCTTGTCTTGTGTATTAACGTAATTGGTTGGTCTTTCAAATAAGTGCACGCTTTCTTCCCCGTTATTGTTCTTTGCTTGTTTTGCAGCACTTCGTTCTTATTTCCAAAATAGCTGCAAAATAATAAGCCAACACTTATTGTATAAAAGGTCCTGATTGTTAGCTAAATAAAGGTTTTACTAATGCAGATATTTGTTTCTTTTTTTTGCGGTAGTTCGCTGCAGTAGCTTGCTGTATTGTGTGAACTTTGGTGAATTTAACTTTCGTCCCTTGTGAGGTATGTAGATTTCGGCAGCATTAGGGTCGTGTATAATTGTCAGCTTTTAGAATTGAATGTAAGTAATGCCATTTTTGAGTAAGTTGCGTCCATAAATGGTACTCTACTTCATGATATACTGAGGATGTTTGTTGATTAAACGCAGGAACAAGGTTAGAGTACTTCAATACATTCTGGAAGCTAGGTTCGGCGTTTTAAGCAGTCACTATTTTCTACAATCAAAGGTCACCTCGGGACTATGGATCTCACTTCGCTCTTTGGATGGTCTGCTGATAAGACTTTAGTACAGGTGTCTTTGTTGACCTCCGAGTTGAGGCAATTACTGGTACACTTAAAGTGTGCGACTTTAGCCAATCAGGAGAGAGTGAGTTCGAGAGTAGTGTCCATATTTATGGTTTCTTAAATATAGAGCAGAAATGATATCTGGAGTTGTGGGCACTTCCAGTGGTAGAGTGGGAAATGCACTCAGTCGGTTACGGTGAGAGCCTTCACGTTTATCATGAGTAATCATTGAATCATCGCCTTTGAAGTAAGCCTATTATCACTGCAAAACGGCATGCCTTGATTGTTGTGGGTCTTCACAACTCGAGTCATTTTCAATAGATATACCGTTGCTAGAATAGCGGTAGTCTCAACTTTTACCGCCTCATCCTCTCATTTTGGGAGAGGGGAGGGGAGGTGTTAGAAACTTTGACCATTTAATGAGTTTAATAGCCTTTAAATCGTCACTTGAGGTTATGAGAACAACAATAAATAGAGCAGTGACTTAACTAATGCTACTGTTGAATTTATGTTCAGTAGCTCCTCGTGAACCATTCGTTGGTAAGCTTTTATTTCCCAAAATAGTATTTTCACATTTCTCATGTCAGGACTTCGAACGTGCCTATTCTGCAACTGCTATTTTTGTGCTTAATAACAAATCACTTATTGACTGCACCGACAATAACATTTCGTTCACCGATTTTTAACTAGCATGATGGATTGGCTTCTCCCAACTTCGATAAAGCAAAAGTTGGATAAAGATTCAACCTACGGGTTCGAGGGCTCCACCCTTCTCCTGTGTTTTAATGACGAAGCCGAAAAGTAAGAATGTCTCGTTATCAGTACATAGCGCACTCCAAAGAACCATGAATGATGTCGTCTTTGAGTTGCTTCTGAATGTAGCCAATCGGGCTGCTCTGGAGGGTCGCTCTGTCTTCTACTTTCGACCATGCGAATTAGTCCGTCTTAGCCAGTTCCATATTCATGGCACACCTGCTTTTGACTTTACTGCTTGGGACTCCATTCAATTCTTGTAAGGCAGAAGGGACACCCTTCTTGTCTTTATATTGTCTTAATAGTAGAATATTAATGTTATTTATGGAATTGGGTATTTCAGCTCTTCTTTATTGAAGTAGGTAGTTTTAGTTAAGTTCAATGGGCAATTTTTTAGATACCCCACGGCTAACTCCCTCGTGCGTTTCTTTTCTCAAATACACCTAACCAAGCGTCTTCCAGATCTCATCCTTATTGAGCAGTTGGACCGAATAATTGGACTGCAGGTGAGTCGTTGAGTACACTCTTTGCTGCTCCGCATGATCTTTTGCCTTCTGTAAACTTACTTCTTTATCACTTTAAACACGTGTTTTTTTTCGATGACACCAAATCTTTGGCCTTACCGTGGGCGGAAGAATGCCTTCGTCCTTTTAAGCGGTCGCGGCTATTAAAAGTGTGCATGTAGGCGGTTCGCGTGATTTTTATTTCCATCAAATCTTTTAAACTTAGGTAATGATAGTAATACTTTACGAATTAAGTGGATGGCATTTAAATACCTAGAGGTTTATGGTCACCACTTTAAATGGTACTGACTTTATATTCCTCATTTCAAATGCATGTTGAGACAGTTTCATGCTAAATGTCCCTTTGATAGGCATCACTCTTAACAGACGTATCTGTGGGAATTCCAGCAGCATTCTACCCAGCATGAGTTGCTTCAAATGTTGACAGAGCCATTTTTGATTGCCTTTTTTGTGCAGCGGGATGACTTTCTGGCTCGACTGTATGCTCTCACTTGCCTCTTTGTCGATGCGCACGAATACATTCGTCGGCAGAAGGCGTCGCAGGACTTGGCTTCAGACTGTCCTCTTCTGGTGAGCTGTGCCATTCCTCGGACTTTAAAAGATTGGCACCTTGTTCCTCACGGTCTCCGCCAGGCCTGTCTTTTTACAAAAGAGGGTAATTGTTTGGCTGCGATTTGAGTTCTGCCATTAGTTTGAACCATAGACTTTTATGTAAGAAAAGGTGAGCAATTGGTAATAAGATGGAAGGACGTTTCTTTCCCACTAGACGACTATCCGAAATCACAAAAACTATCCATATTAGAACCTCATACTGCACTTGAAAAAGGGTAGGAGGAGAATAAGGTAGGAAAGGACGGAGATGCTTGCTCATTCTCATCTCCCTCATCTTTCTGCTTATGTTTATCCAGGTGATGACTTCCATCCTCTTACTGCGCCAGATGATTATAAGATTGGGTGAGATTTGGGAAAAAACAGCTGGAATGTAATCGTGAGATGTGGGTTGATCCGCATAAGGCTAGGTGTGGTTTTTTATTCCGAATTTAAAACGCTATATCACAGTGCCATCGCATGAACATTAAAAACTTTCCTACCGTAACACTTTGTGTTCTAGATTTTTTGACCCATTCTTGTATCCATTCCATTCTAGACGACGACTCTCATTTCTCCTTGGCCGATGTCGAGAACAAATTCGAGTTCAAACTCCTCTTAAAAGAGGGAGAGGTATTCTTTACTTCGTTCCTGTATGACACCGATTTGCTGCCTTTGGTTCAACTACCAAGTAGCTGATATCGGTTTCATCTTATTTGTGGCAGCAAAATACGTTACTGTGGCTGATCCGTCTGTCTCTCAAGAATAAGCCTTGTTGTTTCACATCGTTAGTAAAGACAGTTTCAGCTTCTATACCTCGTAATATTCTCGAGATCGTTGCAGTGAGCCTGATTACAGTCGTTCCTTCAGGAAAGGCCTGTCGGAAAGAACTTTCTATTCAATGTATACCACGTTACCGAGTTCGGCTCGGCCATCATTCTTTTTGTAGAACACTTTAGCCTAGATGACATCCCAAGGGTTTGAACGGAATTGGTGACAGTTCTTCATCATTTATAGCATACTATATTAAGCGCATTTATTTAAATAAGTATCTGCGTAAATCAATGTGCGTAAAGGCTGTTAAATGTTAATGATCGTTCTATCGTGGGCGATATCTTTCGAAGAAATTGCAGAATCCGATTTTGTTAAGAGTTCGTGTCGTGAGGAGTGCCCAATCCTTCTTCAAAACCGGACCAAATGTCTGGATTTTTTGCTTTACTCTTATAAAAATGCTTTATTAGGACTGTTAAGCGATTTCTGTTATTAAAAAAAGTAAATAACAGGGATAAAAAGTAATCGGGAACGCCAACAATGATAATGGTTTTATGTTAAAATAGAAATTGATAACCCGATTTTCAAATCTATAAAATCGTATTAATACTTTTTTTTTGAGTAGCATTCATTTGAGTACGCTTCTCTAAATTGCAGTTTCATAATCATGTTGTAGCTTATCTATGGGTGAGCAAACCAGACTTCTCATAGTTCTGGCTAATTTTTGCCTAGAGGTTACTGATTTTTGCAAAAGAACGACGAAAGTGTTTTGTCCACCGGTTATGCGCACTCCATTGGTGGATCTTTTATGTATTCGAGTGAAAATTGTGCGACTATCCCCGTCGTATACAGCACACATTCACGGAAACATAAGATAGTTGCGAATCCTACTGTAGCTGCACCATTTGCCTCCTTAAACGCATATAATTTGGGAACCTAATTTAATGTTTTGTATTTATCCTCTGGCTATCTTTCTCACGTTTTACACGGCTTAGTAGGACCCAAACGCTAAGAAAAAATCATCATCATCAAGGAATATCACAAATCAGAATATGGAGTCATCTACCTAGTTCACTATATTTATAACAAAGTATCCCATGTCTAGTGTAAATGCGACTACTCCGATTATTGAACACCTTCACACGCCCCTCAGCAACCTTCTTCCGGCGGGTCTTTGAGTTACATATTCCCAGCAGATGCACCAGTTCTGCATGTGGGTCCGTGTCAGCAATTGCACTGCCACTGCGCTATTCACACAGTAACGCAATGTGCGCCTCATAGATGTGGAGTGGAAAGCAGCGAGGGAATTGTTTGATGAGGACAGCCACATCCCAATCATCAATTGCGTTTCAAAAAATGTTGGCGGGGTAAGCACAGTTTGGTCGGACCAGCACCTACCTGAGGCATTCCGGAGGGGATAGAAGTCGCCCATTTCCTCAGTTGACAGATTACCTCTCACAGCCTCGTCATCGTCGTTAGAATCCGGAGAAAGTACCAGTTCAGCGGCAAGGTCGTTCTTCATTCGTTCCATAGGTGGAGCAGGGGTCTACACAAGTCAAAGAAAGGCGTATGATTAGTCATATCAGAGCCTATGCTCATTCCGTATCTACCTCTTGAGCGGTGTCAGCTCTGTCGAAATGACTTTCAAGATGCTTTGCAGGTGGCAGATGGACAGTATCGGTCGTGCCAGTGCCTGCTCCCACTTCTACATTTTTCTTCGCATCCATAAACAGAAATTACTGCATGTCTAGATTAAAGGGGTTTGGATTTCATCTTCATTCTCCATTACTCACTCTCATGTTTTGCCTTAAAATGGATGCCGAACTTCTTGTTCTTTGCTGGCAATGATCGTGAGGACTTAACGGCTGAAATGAAACTTCATTGTTTTAGCATATTTAGTTATTATTTGTAGTACGAGCATCGGAAATGGGTTACTCACTAATGCTTTCCTTAGTATTCTTATGTGGGGAAGTGTTCTATTCTCAAATGCGGTTTGTCAAATGGCTTTCTTCAGAATGTTTCAGAGTTAATGCTAACCCGTCGGTGTGCACATTTTTACAGAAAACTTTGCATTTGATGGGGTGAACTTACTATCATCCTCAGTCTCCTTTTACTTACCAGTAGTGCTTTTTCAAGCTCGACAAGCAAGTTTAATGATCATACACTTTTTCGCCCCAATGGAAACATCATGCCGCATTTAATGAAATTATTTGGTGGTATGAATGCATGAGTTGTTAATTCATGACTAGCTGCACTTCGGTTAAAGGGCATGGCTTTTCCCCCATTGTGCACACTCACCTACGGCCTTCCTCCCCTGTGCTGGTATTGAATTACCCACTCGGGATTCCATGGCACTGAGTCCCAATGTTTATGTCCCCAATAGGACCATAATTGTAGGTCTAATGGGAATTCTTTTAAACAGGTCTGATTAAATGGTTTGCCACTTCATGCTTTAATAGGGAACGTGCTTTCATCGTTGCATGCGTAGTGTCCTAGTTCTTCCTTGAATTCGTAGTTGAGCCCACCACCATGGGTGACTGCCCATTTACAACCCACAGGTGTGATGAGAGGCTTTTTAGGGAGCTAACCCTAGGACATTTGGAAGGTCTGTAAACTAGGTATGCAGACTACTCGCTGATCCTTCCAGTTGATTGCAGCCTTGGTGGACGTAGTCGGATTTCTACATTAACGCAAATGAAAAATTGGCATAAAATTTCCCTTAAATGGGAGTTGCTTGCAAAAAAATGAAGAAAGTTTGCATGAATGATGGTAGTCATTGTGTTTTTGCTTTGCAATCCATTAAAGCGATTCCCGATTTGTGAAGCCCAAATACAATTTTAATGGCTACATTAAGAAAGGGTAAATGTCGTTGATTTCGATTTAATCTTGTCGTTTTACTGCACCTGCAATTTCTTCCACTATCTGTTGCCATTTAAAAGCTCAGGCCGATAAAGTAGTTCGTAAATAAACTAGCCCACGATAAACGAGAATTATTCTCGCCTCCGTTAATTACGTGCTTATTTGATGCAAAAAACATGCGTGCCAAATATAGCAAGTCTCTGTCCCAAGAATAATCAAAATTTGTTCAAGGGGCACCAACATTGTAAACGCCTGTGGTCATTCCTAAATCCTCGTGCTAACATGAATCTTTTGAGCATGCTTGTAGCTTCTCAGCCAGTCTTGACCACTACAATAAACCAGTCTTCCATAATACAATGTCTAATAGCAGTCCCAGAGAAGACTTGGTTGATTACACTTGTAGGTGAGGCATCTCCAATTTTGTTTGTTGGTTGGCTATGCACTGCAGCTTCCGGAAAAGTAAACCTAACTTTTTTGTAACAAAATCCGGAATGGATTAGCTACAAGCACTTAACACAGTACCAGTGCAACAAGGACTCGTCAGTTTTAAAGAAGCGAAAAATAATTAAAGGAAATCATAATCTAGGCTTTTCTAAGATCATTTAACCTAAATCATCGTTTTGAGCTGACGTAGAAGCCATGGCTTTTGTGGACCATCTTTCAGCTTGTAGCAGTGATCCTCAAATTTTCCCTTCGAAATGTGGTACACCCTGTTTTGGTCAGGACACTCCAGAAATCCATCGAAGGGTACCACATATGGTACCACTAATAGGGTGCCACTTCCAAAAAATGCAATTTTAATATTTAACCTCCACCCTCTCTCCTTGCTCACTTCAGTCGACACCCTGATACGTAACATCAGGTGCGCAATACCTTCCACAAGCAAGCGCTCAACTACAACAGGCTATGCTCCCGTTTACAGCTTCCCCTTTTTTTGATAAACCCTTTGAGAAGGATAGGCATTAAAGACAAAATCACATTAAATTATTCACGATGCTTTGCTTTGAAGGCGTATTTTATCTCTGCAACTTATAAAGTGTCCAAACACTAGAGCTCACTTTTTTTTAGTTTTACCGTCTTAGCTCGCATATTCTGTTCGAATAACTATCCACCTTTACGACGATTTCTTCCTCTCTCCTCAAGTCCATAATTGCGCATTTTTTGCTATGCGCCTTGGCCAGATTGCAGGCTATATTGCTTTCACAGGCAGTGAATAACGCGATCAACACTAACTTACCATGCTCTGTAAATACGAGGCCCAGATTGGCGTGGGCGTCTGGTTTGTCATGAGCGTGGGCGTTGGTTTGACCTCTGAGTCAAAATTGCGTTTCCATTTGAGCATTACTTATAGTAGCAACGCTCATATTTTCATCCAGCGAGTACAAAAGTGATGCCTATCACGTAAGAATGTGTACATTTTGACTAAAATCTGTGCTATAAATTCCATCGTGATGACTTGAGTTCCACCCTCTTCCCTCACTTAAAGAAACGTCTGCTCGTGGTGGCTAACTTGTTGAAAAGGAATGAAGCAACGAGCTCCATGTTCCATTTCTTGTGCTTTCTAGGATTTGCGTTGCTTAATTTGTTCGAAAACATGCGATGTATATTAACAGCCTCTGAAAGCTAATGCATGATGAAAAAGTCGTGTAAGTAGGACAATTATGGAACTGCGACGTTTATGCTTAAATGTATCGTTTAAACGATCACTGTGGCCTCTTCCAAGGCAAAGAGACATCAGAGTGAATTGGACACATTTTTCTTAACTTTGGTCTAAACCATGAAATTAGTCCTAACTATTTCTATGCGAAACAGCCTGTTAGTGTGGGACATTGCTTTGTTTTATCTGATCAGTGATCCTAAGTCAATTACTAACTAGGTGGCTCGGGAATATTTTAATTTTAAAGCACCCACTAATTTGCATTTCCAGGTTGGATGATTGAATAATTAGCGAGAGGAAGAAGTGGTAAAGCCTAGCTTACAATGCACTATTGGCACGGCTAGGTTAGTGGCACAAGCACACACACAGACAGACTTGATTTTCTTCCAAATGGGCTGACAACCAAAGGAAG